GGGGGGGGGGGTTTCAGTTCATTTAGGAAGCAATGTGTCTATGTTTGAATGGATTGTAATGTAAGTTAAAAACTTCTCCGATGTTCTCTGTGGCCTGCAAGAATCCGTGGTCAGATTTCTAGGAAAACCCAAAGGATGTTACTTTGTGTCGCTGAATGCCTTGCCTCTCGTTTAGCAGCAATACAATTTTCCTTTGCAACAAATTACATTAGAAATACAGTTTGCTCATGGGAAAAAACGACTATCACACAACATAGCAGAGAGTCACACACAAATTCCATGTAAGCATAAAAAGGTTTTATCTAGGAGAGTCCGTTTTACTTACTGGCGTCAGGCGATCAAAAAAGCACACATTAAAAGTTGACTTATTAATGACATTATTGAATATCATAACACCCCTAATAAAACAGGGCATCTGATACATCGAAGACCCTTTGTCTGTTTCTGGGGATCACTTTAAACGTCACTGTTTGTTTCCATGATGAACAGGATGCTGACTGCAGTTCAATTAGCAGCCACCAGTCTCAATAATCCCTAAGGATTTTATTTTTTTACTAATCTTTTTCTCCAAGTCTTATATTTTAAAATGTTCAGTGTACTAGTCATCTGTGTTTTTCTGAAATGTCCTTCCTGTCTTTACTTGCACTGTTTAGTGTTACTCTCCTGCCTGGTGTGCTTCCTCTAAGCCACTTTCCATTCCCTGAAAGCATAAAGCACTTTTTTCCTGCCCTGAATTCATGCACCAACACTGACCTTGCTTCTCTCAGAGTACTTTAACAAATCCGCCCAAGTTTACTCTGTAAGCAAGCAACATTTATTAGACCCCTGAGCATTTGGCTTTTGCGAAAGGATGCGAAATATCAACAACACATTAGTGTTGAGATGGAGGGAACACAGGCCATAATTTCTTAAAAGCACCCGACAAACTGCTGTTATTTATTTTTCCATTTAAAAAGAAAGACCACTGGGTTGCCGGCTAAAGGACACAGTGAAGAGAAAGCCACAGTACTTTTGATTAGACGACTGCAGCTCTCAGCGCGCTGGGAGACCGCTGCTGAGTGCTGGAGAGCCGTGACTCTCATCCGCCTGCTGAGACTTTCAATTCATTTACATCTGCCTCCTGACATTGGTATGTGGGCTTGACATTTCCAAGATAAGGAAGAGTGTCTTCTATCGGCAAAGAGATTTGACTACCCAAGGAGAGTGAGTAATATGTCATGTTAGGACTTGGTTTGCTATTCCTGAAGTGTGAGGACTTTTTTCAGGAAAAGCCTAGAGGAGGTTTGAATCTGGTTACTAAGGTCTCCTGTTATACATGTCACAAGGAGTGCTAAACGTTCTACTGCTCTCTTAAAGGTGGGGTCGGTAATTTTGGAGAAACCAGCTCGAGTGCACTAGAATTCGAAAATACACAGCCGGAAAAAATCTGCCACTTCCTTACTGAGCCCCTCCTCCAACACACACGAACGTGCACATGACCAATGAGGGCAGGAGATAAGTTTATTCACAGATGGAAGGCTGACAGGCAGGTAGGTCATCCAGTTATTTTAGCCGGGCCGGCTAAAATGATTGGTCATGTTTTTTACAGCGCCACAGCTTCCACAGATGACATTTTTTTATGGATTTTTTGTCAAAGCACTTCAGATATTCATTGCTATCGGGATGTTAAGAGCATTCCATGGAATATAACAAAAAGTGTATCTCGAGCCGGTTTCTCAAACTTACCTACCCCACCTTTAACTGAAGAATGTTCATAGAAAGAGCGTTTCTGATTATTTCTGCCTATTTCCTTTTAATGACATGTTTATAAGATGAAACCGTTTTTACCTTTTTGTCCAGTATTTCTAGTTGCTGCTTATAGAAGCTGGATATGCTGGCCAGTTCCTTCTCTTTGTTCTCCAGCTGTTTGGCCTGAAAAGGGGAGGGGAGCGTAGAATTAGAAATGACACAATAAGGTACAAATAAAATAAATAAAAAACATTGCTTTTAAAAAAGCTATTGAACAGGTTCTTTATATTGCATGATGACATTTTAATCTATTAATGTGACCTGTGAAAATACATCATTCTGACTGCCTGGCAAATAGAAATCAATCCAGGTACTAAAATAGATATTTCATGCTGAGAGGGGGGAAGAATAAGGCAATGTGTTTCTGTCAGTGCCCAAAAGACTAACCAGAACCTTTACCTTACCTAAACCCACGTTTTCTGCATCAGGAAGCGAACAAAACATAAAATAGTGTCTAAGACATTTTAGGACACAACAGAACTCTCCAAAAGTTTGTTGTTAATGGATATAGCATCAAATAGCAGGTTCATGTTGTCGATGCATTATTTTTCAGTATACTTTTCATGTGTTACCTGAAGCACCACTATGTTATGGATCTATGACTAATGTATGATGGAAATATAAAATAAATCACATACACAACAAAGTAAAACGCAAATGGCTATTTCGTAGCTAGTCCATCGAATGTAACAGAACTTACAAAACTACTCCGGCGGCGGCAGAAGCTGATATGGCGATGCTGGCGTTAAGGATGAGGTGAAAAGGCTGTTACATGCCTGCTGAGCCAAGCTTTGACAAGCAGCAAGATGGAAGTCTGTAGGAAGACCCAGAGATTGGGCCGTGGCAGAGCAGCATGCAAGCAGAGGAAGATAGAAGAGACACTGTGAAAACAAGCTCAGCTCCAGAAGGGAACATGCATCAGGGGTTTTTATTAGCTAAGATTCACTAGAAGATGTTAAGACAACTTGGTTTATTATCTGGAGGCTTCACAGCACGTCAATATCGTTACACAATCACATAAAGTGGAATTAAAAGAGATTACTTGCTTGTTGTAAATATGTATCAAGGTTATATGATAAACAGAGAAAGAGTAATGAAGAGCTATTGCAGCGCTGAGAAGGAAAATCATAGAGAGATAGTCAAAGAAGAAGAGCATGATGCTACATTTTGATTCTGACTTGTATCTTATTTAATGTTTATGTTTCAAAGAAGCTTTTCTCTTGGGACATGAAAGCATGGCGCATGAAGCCTTCTAGTCAGTGGTGTATTTTGGCTGTCTGTTTACATGAAAACAAATCACATCTATTTCCAGAAAAACATGCCATACACTGTATCTGACGTGAATAGCAGCAAACTGAATCTCACTGATGCACTCCAAACCTTGCAGCCTGGTTGAGAATCTGTTGGTCTGTCAGAAGTGTGTCCATGCTGTGTGTAGAGTGTGCAGAAGATCAAAGCAGAGCCTGAGCAGCCTCACAATCACAGAGAAAAGCTAAATGCATAAAAGCTTTAAGAAACACGCGCGCAGTGTGGTTGAGTTTTCCTCGCCATTCAAACGTTTGATCTGAATAATGTTTGCCTGCATATTCAAATGATTATCAATCAGTAGCTAGCTCACTCATGAATGCACATTGTTTCTAAACACAATCAGTGAAACAGTGTTAAAGCAGTATCAACATTATATGGTGCATGAACACAATGAAGCTACTGTAGATAGGAGTGAGGGGAAAAAAGGCAGCAATGGGGCATAGATTTATGTAGTATTGAAAAAGTGTATTACAAACAGGCGTACACACACATTCTGTGCCATGGTGTAATGGTGACAGATTGCTGTAGCCGAGCGGTACATTAGTGAGTGTGATATAGATCAGATGGAGCAACACCATCTTCCTTGGATGATCTACTCTTCTTCTGCTCTCTTTGCTGGTACACACACACACACACACACACACACACACACACACACACACACACACACACACACACACACACACACACACACACTGTAATCCAATCAAATCTCATCCTAACTTAACAGACACACGCATCCCCAAAGAGCACATCTGCAAATCCCTATACTGTGCTCACTGCACTCTCTCTTTCTGCAGCGGCTGTTTGATGCTTAAGGGCTGTGTGTGTACGTGTGTTTGTGTGTCAAATCACCTCTGCTAGCAGCACAGATGATGTGTAATTTTCTAGCTGAATACCTCCCAAAGTGTTGTTGTGTGGAATGGTGGCACTCGCAGCCTCGCTTTAATGCACAATGAAAACATGACATTTGAATAGGGAAGAGAGAGAGGGAAGGGAAAAGGTAGAGAAATATAGTATTTTTAATAAAGAAGAGGCAGCAGCAATGGTAGTGTTGCTTACCCAGGCATCCACATCTGCTGGCTAGGAGGGAGAGAAGGAGCAGGGTTAGTGAGACAGCCGAGGGTATAAAGAAGCGCTGGGATGGGAGAAATGATAAGGGACAAAAAGGGTTGATTAAAAGGAAAATAAAAAAGTGAGGTGAGGCTAAGATGAATAAAGTGACACTCAAGAATGAGGCGGTTAAGGAGAGGAAATGCTGCAAAGAGAAATTAATAAAAGTAGAAGTTATTGATAAAAGGAATAAAGGTTAAAGCTGCATTCACATGATTTGATATTTTTCTCACCCTGAGGTTGGGCGCGGAGCCTTGCAGTGAGGACAGCTAGTTAGTTTTGTTTCTATGGTTACGTCCCCCGCTAGCTTGCAGAGCTATGTACATAAGTCTGTCATCAGATTGGTTGCTGCATTGAAATCATTTAAAAACTTTGAGCGCAGTGCTAGGCAATCATTTTCAGCGTGTCATGTGAATGCAGCCAGTCACATTTGAGGCTGCAGGGCTATTTAAAAAAAAAGTTTTATTAGGAAGTTGAGATGCAAGTAAATGTCAAATTACTGAAGCAAGTATCTCAGTGTTTCAACACAGGCCTTAAACGTTTTACCAGTGTAGCCAGTGTGGTTAACAAGTGAATGCATTGGCCACTTAGCTATAAAGCTGAAGACAAAATAATGTTATTAACACGTATAAGGATATAGTGCCAATAAGTCTCACAACAGTTGGTGCTCGTAGGCCGAATGATGTGCTTATTATGCATAAGGGATAACATCAAATGAAAGTCAAGTTTAAATATTGCTTTAATAACAATCCATAAAACCAATGCAAATCCCACACAAACCATCTTAAATTAGTTATATTAAAATACAGTTTGTTTTGTGCTTGCACATGAATATTTAAAAAGGCAACGTTGCTATACAGATATGGTTTATTGTGTTCTTTACAACAGATATACTCACGACTTCTTTAACAACTTGGGTCTGGAATGAGAACTAGCAGCTTACTATCCGTTTTTTATGAGAATTGATACAACTGCGTACTTATAAACATTACTAAAACATTGCAAAGTATGAGAGTTAATGCTAAAGTATTATCTGTAATATAGTTTTATCACCAAATCAAACAATTATAGTTCAAGTTTGTTAAACAGACAAACAGGACGCCGGGTGTAGCCTTGCCCACTCGTCCAAGTGCTCCCTAGTCCGGCATTAAAAACAGAGCAGGAGGGGATAGATTAGAGCGGTGGGTGGCTTTAATGTTGCCATGCCTCATAAAAACTCCATTCAGTTAAATGAGGTGAACTCACAAAGCCGGTTGCTGCAAAATGCATGTGTGTGCGTGTGTGTGATGGTGTGTTGGGTAATCTGTGTAACAGATACAAGCGATACCATCTGTTTAACCTCGCTGCTCTTTGGTGGCGGGCACTACACTGAATATGTGACGCCTCCTGTGTGTGTGTGTGTGTGTGTGTGTGTGTGTGTGTGTGTGTGTGTGTGTGTGTGTGTGTGTGTGTGTGTGTGTGTGTGTGTGTGTGTGTGTGTGTGTGTGGAACCCCCACAGAGTGCTCACAGGAGTGTGGAGGTCCCATTTTCCATTAGATGAAAGACTTTTGAAGTGAGGTGAAATGGCTTGTTGTGATACAGATGAAGACAAACACACACCCAGCAGTTTGGTGCGGTCCATGGGCCATAACGTGCAACAGCATTTCAGGTACATCCACTCGTTGTTGGTTTTTTGCGACTCTTAGCTCCCTGGGGACCAACAGTCAGCAGCTTCAGTCTGCACATTAAGAGTCTGGAGGCACTGAGCTAGCAAAAGCACGAGCAGGCAGGTATTCAGTAGGTCGGTAATAAGGATAAGGCTCATTTATTCCCGCAGATTTTTACTAAGATAAAGTTTGTACAAGTAGCGTTAATGCATTATTAATCAAGCTAATTAAGAAGAGACACTGATTAGATGCTTATAGAAAGCACATATGGATATTAGGGCTGTGCAATGAATCGTATTTTAAATCGCAATTACGATTTTGGCCTGCCACAATTACGAAACAACATAATCGGAAAAAATATATATTTTGCTTTGCAAGGTTGTGCAAGGTTGTGACAGTGCACTGCAACATATTTGATCTAATTTATTTGTATTTATCATATTTATGTATGTTTAGTAGCTTGTGGAAGTGCGCTCCAAAATATTTGTTGATCTTGTTTATTGGTATTTATCGTTTTGATATTATTTATTTAAATGTAAATATAAATGTATCATGTATTATATTTATTTTTTTATTGGTTTTTCAGTTGAATTATACATTCAGGGTAATCAACAGTTAAAAAGATACTGTTCAAATTATTATTTGAATTTGTTTTAAAGTTCAATAAATGGATATTTTCAAAGTTAATGAATAATCGTATTAAATAATCGTGATATCAATTATTGACAAAAATAATCGTGATTATGATTTTTGCCATAATCGAGCAGCCCTAATGGATATACCATTGATATACTTAACTGCAGGTAACCATAGCAACAAAACGTATATACCGTTAGTCAACAATAAGAATAATGACCCTCCATTTCCGTCACTTTATAGTCTAGGAAATAAGTAAGTAAGTATAAGAAAACTGTTGCTGTCACACTAAAAAGCTGTAAGTACACATTGGAAAATGCTCATACTGCAAAAATATTCAGATTTATTAAACTTTTCGTCTGAATACCAGTGGGCAATTTCCTTTTCTTAAAATCCTAGATCAACATTTAAGTGTCCACATGTGGATCAGCCTGATATCCCCCCCACAACATGCCCATATTTAACCATAAATGGTTAAAGCAAAGCACCTCATGGATGTTTATTCATAGAAATAAACCTGCTGTGTTTTTTTTACGGTTAATCATGGTAACTACCCTGAGGAAGAGGAGGAAAACACACGTTCTGACACAAACATCAAGGTGTGTAATCTTAACAGTGGCAGTGTATCCATCATGCAGCATAAAGCAACGCAGCATTTTATATGTTTACAGCAATCAGACTGATTGCTCCACAATTTCCGAAGATAATCGCGACAATCAGTAGCATCCCCCATGCTGGGATATCAAGTTTGATACGTAAACACAATTATTTATTTATTTATCAAAGTTATTTTGTTTTGCACTTGGCCTGCATTCATATTAGGACTGATAATGAGGACATGATGTGTGATTATTGTGCAATAGCTGTCACTGGCTATATTTCCAGACTTTTGTTTTGCTCGTTTAAAAAGCCAATATGTGGTGGAGGTGACAGGAGAGTGTGTGCCTGCTTCAGTGTCTCCAGTTTTCTGCAGACATAGTCTTATACTTGCATTGGATAGCTGTTTTCAGTTTGTACTTGTATACTGTATTTGTCGCTATAAAATAAAGCATAAATAAATAGTTTTTTGCAGTGATTTTACACATCAAATTTGAAAGAAAACTAAAATTGTACCTAGTGATATATGCACAGTATTAGAAGAAACTATTGATGCACTGATCTGCAAATATTTAATGTTGTTTACATTATTTGGGATGTGTCCCCGAGTGGGGAATGTCATAATGAGACAGTTCTGATCAAATATTGAGCAGGATTTCTTTATATTTGCTTGTATATGAAAAAGGTGCTCTTATTGCCTTGAGATAATTGCACAAACTTTGATGAAGCATATCCGTTTCATCCGGGTTTAATATCATTTTAGGCACACTATCATAGTGGGCCCATCAGTAAAGATGGACCCAGCTCTTTAATAAGTGAACCTTTAATCTTTAATCACAGACTAGGCTGGAGCCACACGACAGGCACCAGAAACGTGTCCGTTCACACGAAACCGCTCGAAGCGCTGGAGACGCTGTAATACATATACCGGGCCTATAGGTGGCGCTCTACTCCTGCCACAAAAGCAGCGAAGAAGACTTCCCGCGCATGGTCGCCTTTCGGTTTATTCCCCGCTGTGGACGCTCTGGCTCTTTTTCACCCTTCCCGAGGCAAGCGTTTGCTCCTGCTAATTCTCTACGGTTAGTCCACCAGCAGATAAAAAAACACCCACCTCTCCGCCTCTTCCAAGGGACGAGGGGACCGTGCGGCAGAGTTTCAGTTGGATTTTTTTCGCCGGACCACATGTCCGTTAAAGTTTAAATCTTCCGGACAAAATTTGAAAAGTGCCGGTCAAAGGTCTTCTTTGTTATTTATTGAGCTTTAGAACAAATTGATAACGACTCTATATAATCATATAAGAATAAAAAACGAAGCCTCTCTTTTCCTCCCCCTCTTCTGACAGCCCAGCAGCTGATCTCTGAATAGGAGAGGTGGGAGAGGCGGGGATATTGCTTCAACGTTATCGGGAAATGATCGTATAGGCGTAAACACGGAGCCGTTTGCCCCCCCAGAGCGTTTTGTTTGCAGATCTATCCACCTTGGGACCCGTTATCGTTATCGTTTTCTGCGTTTCCATGTCGGCCTCGTGTGGCCGAACCGTCTATCTCAGTGTTTCTCAAACTTTTTCATACCAAGGACCACTTAACCAATAAAAAAACCCTCGCGGACCACCTAACTCCACAAATATCAAAAAACACATCGTTTTTCTAGAACAGGTTACAAATTGCCTGAAATGGTACAAACAAGTGGCAACATGTGTGATGAAGGTGTTGCGCTGGGCTATATCATGCAATCAGAAGTGAAACTTAACCTCGCTCCATTGTGGAGATATTCCCGCGAGAGTGCGGAAAACTGAAATGTATTTATTTACAATTTTACCAATATACCCACGGACCACTAGGGGGCACTCACGGACCACCAGTGACCACACTTTGAGAAGCACTGGTCTATCTGATAGTGAACTGTAGCAGATACGACCGTTAACGGCCTCGTGTGGCCGGAGCCTAAGTTTAATAACAAGAAATGGTAGCTAAAGAAAACCTACATGTTAAATGTATCTTCAAAACTATTTTAAAGTTGAAAGGGGAAAATAATTCCCTAGCAACAGTTATGCCCCTTCTAAACACACCGACTCAATGGATCTCAAAGCA